AGAGAGAGAGAGAGAGAGAGAGAGAGAGAGAGAGGAGTAGAAAAAATAGACGGTGGGGGAGAAAATGACCAGGACAGAGACAGAGAGTGATCAACACCAAATTAGGTCAAGGAACACAATAAAGTAAACAATCATCAATGACATCTGCTCTAATTCAGGATCTTTTATCTAAGGCAGTTTGGTCTAATTACTTCTGTAAGTGAGACGAACCTTAAGCTTATCAAGGAGCGTCCTCATTGTCTACACAGTAGGTCACAGGTTACATTTTAGACCTGATTTAAACAAAACTAGACTAATAAAATTTCATTGATTCAAGAAGAGACACCATGACTCTTCATCAGATAACCATAAACTCTTTGTTCTTTGTCTAGGGAAAGGGTGGCCATGGGCATATGTTACTAACATCAGAAAATTTAGTTGAGGTAATAGAAAGATCTGACAAAATACAAAGTGGTGAGAAATCAGAGGCAGTGATACACATACCTCACCAAATAAGGCAGCCCTAGTAAGATCATTAATTCTATGTGGTCTCCTTCGACGACATGAAAAAAAAAAAGAGACCAAAATCTCAGAGCAACATTAAGTTTTAAGCATAGACTAGTTACCTTTTGAAAAGAATCTTCATCTGTTATGTCATAAACTAGAATGGCACCATTGCTGTCTCTGTAGTATATAGGCCCAAGTGCATGGAACCTTTCCTGACCAGCTGTATCCTGCAATGAAACAAGAAAAACACGTGCCATCAGTTCTATTTAGAGGTGAGAGAAACAGACAAAAGAGACAGTGACAATGAAATAAAAGAAATAGGAACAAATCATACAAGAGCATCAACCAGCCATGCTTCAAATGTTCCTCAGCATTAAGGGAAATCTCCAGCAGTACTGTTGAGATAACACAATACATATAATATATATATATACCATAATTCATTTACAGATTAGACTTTGAGCAATGGATTGATCTGTTGTTGATTTGCCACTTCCCTCTATCGGCAGATCCCCTGCTCGTCTGAACAGCGAGAATAATGGAATTCTGTATCTATGTCAGGATAATCTACAACCTGTACTATAAACCCATTGTGTACTGCCATCAGACCGTTGAAATATCAGCATCCTCAATGACTGGCATTGGAAAAAAAACTTTACCTAGGCTTTAAAGAACACAACTCAGCTGTTGCATGGTGTGTAATCTCAGTTGAAGAGGAAGCATGCTGACATAAACACAGAGAGAGAGAGAGAGAGAGAGAGAGAGAGAGAGAGAGAGAGAGAGAGAGAGAGAGAGAGAGAGAGAAAGAGGAGAGAGCCGGCGTGACAGAGCGAACGAGATAGAGAGAGAAAGAAAGAGAGAGAGAGATTATATGAATCAAGATAAATCAAACATAATCTCACCAGGCTTCCCAACAATCAGCTTGTAGTTCCCTATCCGGACTGCCCCTTTTCCTGACGGCTCGATATTGTAGACAAACTCATGACGGGAGGAAAACCTTCCACGACTGATCATCTGCCACTGGCTCACACCATCAATATTGAACTCTGGTAAAATCATCATCATCATCATCATCATCATCATCATCATCATCATCATCATCATCATCATCATCATCACCCTCACGATTACGAGTCCGGTACCGTACCTTAATCAC